TCTCTTACCTCTAGGTGGTCGCTTGCGCGCCAAAGGGGACCTCCTGAGCATCGCGTCTCGGGGGCTCTTACTGGGCCTCGGGCCGCTCACCTCCTGGCCTTGACCACGACATCGCGACCTGGCATACCAGCGACGACTGAAGGGGAAAGGGGAAACAGGAAAGGGGACCAGGACCTGTCGGTGTAGAGCACCACGCCATCGTGAGGTTGGAAAGGGGAAACGGAGCCAAAACAGAGCACGCACATGCACAACTTCATAATAAGGATAATATCAACAAAAGACATTACAGACACCTTAGACGCCCCAACGGGGTACTTTTTAATTCCTCGCAGGGGACAAAAGGAAGGGAATCCCTAGGAGATCTATCTACACACGCCGAACGACACCGGGGCCATCATCAACAATGGGCCACGAGAGCCCGGCGCCAACCCCATCCAGATCATCGATGGCGATGGCCAGACGCTGCAACCTTGCTCCAGGCCCGACGGGAGCTCGGGGCACGTAGCTGTCGTCGCTCGTCTCCGGAGACTCCAAGAGCTCGAGAGAGTCGCTGGACCACCAGGAGCCGCCACTATCGCTGGAGGAGCTGTAGGCGAGGCATGCGGCAGGCCCAGCGCCCGCCGCTGCGCCGTCCTGGCGACCTCGTCGAAGACCTTGAAGAACACCATGGAGGCGCCATCATACTCGAAATGGATCGTGAGGGCGCCCTCCATGCGGTAGACTCGGGCAATCTCGCCCCAGCCTCGGGTAATGAGATCCTCCCGGAGGCGATGGCTTTAGTTGCCGCTCCAGTCGCCGGGGCGTCGCAGTCGGCGTGCTGCAGCCAAAGCTCGAGGGCCCCCCTTGGCGGCATCTCTGCAGAGAAGAAGGAAGGGAAGCGAATCCAAGTGCTCGGGGGCATCGCTGCCCACAGCACGAACTCGTACGAGGAGTCTGCAGCGTGGACCCCTGGGCGACGGCGTGCGCCTCCGCGGCACGGCAGCCTCGGCCCTGGCGCGGGCGGCGGCGCTCATCGCTCCTTCCTCCGGAATCATCGGCGTGAGCATACAAGGGCAACGGGTACCCAGGAGGCGGCCTCTCGTACCACGGCCGAGACACCACCGGCCTCAAGACCATTTCTTGGCGATGGGACCTCCTCTTCTTCGGCGGGAGCAGCTCGGGCTCATTGAGGGGAGCCTTGCCCTTCTCCGCGGCCGAGAACCTCCGAATTGGTGCTATGACTGCACCAGCAAGGAGTGGAGCAAGGAAGGAGAAGAAGCGAGAGAGGCAGAGGAGAGACGGGTGATGGGGCTCCGCCCCACCCCCCATTTATAGCCAAAGGGAGGCCAACCGCCGGCCTCCGCGATCTAAGGTAATAATGATGGCTTTTCCTTGCATGTAGCAGGGACTCGTCAAGTCGGGCAGTAGCCGAGGCTGCATGGGGAAGCAGAAACGCCCACGTCCAATCAACCGCCACGCGTCGAGCAAGGACGCAGGCTATTAGGGCTCGCGGTGCTCCGCACTTGCCCCTTGGCTTTGCCTCGAAGCCAAGCCCGAGCGCGCCTTGGGCCTGGGGGCTACTGTCGGCGTTCTGGGAACGGGTGTCCCCAGACTTGTCTGCCTGCGGCCCACAGCATGGATCTGCAAGTGGGACCGTACGACCCATCTTCACCAACAAGCATTCAAGACCCTCGCGAGGGGCCAAGCCTCGCGAGGTGGACGACACAAGACCTTCTCAGGAGCGGCCTCACCAGGCTGGCTCGTGAGGGGCGGAGAGATCAAGGCCAGGCAAACCTCACGAGGTTCCAATGACGTGAGCCATGACGATCGAGACCAGGCGGGTGCCAGTGCTCACAGTGTCCTTATTTCCTCTTTGGTGCTAAGGAGGCACGCGCAGATGAAGAGTACCGAGGTGTCAAGCAAAGGTTTCCATATCGGTGCAACGAGACCAAGACCAGCAGGACGGCATGACGGAGGTCACCGTAGAGCCTAAGACGGTGTCACCACCAGAGCCTTTGGTAGGCGAAGACTGCTTTTGTCAGGATAACTTGTACTAGCTGTCCCCTTTCAAATTGGCCATTGTTGGCTTCCTTCCCGCTCAATATTTGGGGCAGAGGACCAGGGCCTCTATAAATAGGATTAGCCACTACAGCTATGGGGGGGATCAACCTCATCTTAGATCTGAGCCACCACATCCTTAGCCACACACCAACCAAGCACAAGAACACCTCACCTCAGGAGGTTGTTCTTCCCCTTGTACTGTTCATCATCAGCCCAAAAGGCAATCCACCACACCACACTGGAGTAGGGTATTACACCGCAACGGTGGCCCGAACCAGTATAAATCTTGTGTCTCTTGTGTTGCAAGTTCGTCGAGCTAGCCTTTGAGATCGCGAAGTGCTTGAGGGCGTGATCGGTGAGGGAGAGATCTTCGCGCGCACCCCAGTGTTCGAACCTTAAGGGTTTTGCCGGAACCCGAAATCCGACAAATCTTTCCTACCCTGGCAATATTCTCTAGATTCAATATTAATCTTCCTACCAACCGTATAAATATTTTTAACTTTTAAGAGAGCTTTCCAGTAAGGGGAGTCTGAGAATCTAGGCCCAACAGAGGCCACAGACTTATTTCTCAGGTATCACGCGCGCACAATATCTTGCCACATCCCATTTTGAGTCTCAAGTTTCCACCACCACTTAACCATCAAGCTAATATTTTTTTACGTAGATCTTTAACCCCCAAACCACCTTTCTCTTTGGATCTACAAATCCTGCTCCTTTTAACAAGGTAATATGTTCTCTTCTTATTACACCCTTGCCAAAAGAACATATTGCCAAGGTAATATGTTGTAACAAACATAACTTCAGTTTTATACACCAACAAATCACCTAAGAAAAGTACCCCATCAACCATGAAAGCAAAGTGAAAAAGAAAAAGACATGAAAAACATATGTGCAAGTATCAAATTTAGTGTCTCAGTGATCATCCTAAATACTCCCATTGCACGTCTAGCTATCCATCCATGAAACCCCCATTTCTCTAGCTTCCTAGTGTGAACTTCATGCAGATGGGTAGGTTAACCTTAGCAAGAGAAAGCAAGGAAGAAGGGAACATCCATATACCATCCCCATAGATAAAACCAGAGGCAACTGCAGGCATCAGCAACATCCAAGAAAAGAAGGGAACATCCAGTGTGCTGGGGGGCTATGCCCCCTCCCCCTCCCCCAGCTTTGACAGGAGTAGCGACCGATGTTGGAAAGGTGATGGATTCAGACATATTGATGTAATGCTTTGTAAAGTCTTGGTGAATAATTAATAAAATGGTTGCATGCATCTTCCAATGCAGAGGTTGGGATCATCCTCTTTTTCTAAAAAAGATGTCCTGTGTTGTAACAAACAGTTTTTTTCGAACCAGGCTATACCCCTTTTCATGGCAAATGAACGAAAATACAACTGTTCTACAAATATTCCAGGTGAAGGAAAGAGTTAGAGCAAGTTCGAGCACTGCGAGAAAACCCACTTGCATTCGCCCGCCGTCGAGACAAACGCCATGGAGCAAAAATCTAGGCAGCACAACTCCAATCCCAAAGCTAAGTCTAATTATTACAACCCAAAACAAGTGGAGCGGGAGACCAACCAGGGACCAACATATCTAACCGCAATCCATTAGAAGTATCACCGCAGTAGACCCGGCTACTCTCCTTTAATCGGTCATCTAGCGGCGGCGCGCAGCTTCATCGAACGCATCATGCTCGATCTGACCATCTCAGCACCAACGCGCAGTTCCTTAGCATCATCCCCTTGCTGAAAACCGGCCCAATACAGCAAAAACGAACACATGAAAAAACAATCTGAAAAGGGTCTTAATTTGTTTCTTCTCAAAAGTAACGCGGTTACGAGCTAACCAGATGGCTCAACAAGCAGCTGCAAGGCCCATAGTGTAGTACTTCTCTCCTGCAGGGAGGAAGGTATGACACCACGCGAAATATTGTTAATAATTGTTCGGACAACTATCAGTACCTAGTACCACCCCAACAGATCGCCAAACAACTGTAGCCACCGAACAAGTAAAAAACAAATGTTGGAAAGATTCCAATTCGCTGCAAAAGGAACAACTAGGATTTCCTAGTCGTTTTTTCTTTTTCATAACTTGTCTAGTAAGGACTGCATCCTGCAACAACTGCCATAAAATTGATCTTGATTTTAAGGGGGATTTTTGCCTTCCATATCCTTCTATAATGGCACCCGCTAAGGGGACTCTCAAGCCATTTATACATAGATTTGGTAGAGAATTTACCACTCTTACTAAGCCCCCAATACACGCGATCACTACCCTCAGTCAAGTGAATATCAGATATGGTTTTACACATAACATCCCGCTGCCCAAGCAGGCCAGGAGTAAGCCTTCATCTGAAGAAGGTGCAAACATCAACAAAACCAAACTTATCTACAGTACATTCTTGGATGTTGCAAATGTGGAACAACAGGGGGTATTGCTCCTGAAATGGGATCAACCCTTTGATCGAATCTTTCCTACCCTGGCAATATGTCCCAGATTCAATATTAATCTTCCTACCAGCCGTATAAAGATTTTTAATTTTTAAGAGAGCTTTCCAGTAGGGGGAGTCTGAGAATCTAAGCCCAACATAGGCCACAGACTTATTTCTCAAGTATCACGCGCGTACAATATCTTGCCACATCCCATTTTGAGTCTCAAGTTTCCACCACCACTTAACCATCAAGCTAATATTTTGTTTATGTAGATCTTTAACCCCCAAACCACCTTTCTCTTTGGATCTACAAATCCTGCTCCATTTAACAAGGTAATATGTTCTCTTCTTATTACACCCTTGCCAAAAGAACATATTGCCAAGGTAATATGTTGTAACAAACATAACTTTAGTTTTATACACCAACAAATCACCTAAGAAAAGTACCCCATCAATCATGAAAGCACAATGAAAAAGAAATTGACATGAAAAACATATGTGCAAGTATCAAATTTAGTGTCTCAGTGATCATCCTAAATACTCCCATTGCACGTCCAGCTATCCATCCATGAAACCCCCATTTCTCTAGCTTCCCGGGTGAACTTCATGCAGACGGGCGGGTTAACCTTAGCAAGAGAAAGAAAGGAAGAAGGGAACATCCATATACCATCCCCACAGATAAAACCAGAGGCAACTGCAGGCATCAGCAACATCCAACAAAAGAAGGGAACATCCAGTGTGCTGGGAGGGCTGTGCACCCCCCTCCCCCAGCTTTGAACCAACTTATGAAGACATTATTTTTAGGAGGACATAGATGAAAACATTTTTAGCCTTTGGCCCCTTCAAACACTCATATTTTGTCATTGGCCCCCAGCAGAATACGTCTAGCTCCGCCACTGCTAACCGATTATCTTCAGTGACTTCTCAGTTCTCACACACAGATTACTACTTTGATTCGTATATATACAGTACTATAAAATGTCAAGTACAATCAAACAATGCTTTGTCTAGTAACAAACATAGCTTTAGTTTTATACACCAACAGAACACCTAAAGAAGTACCTCATCAATCATGGAAGCCCAGTGAAAAAGAAAAGAACATCAGAAACATATGTACAAGTATCAAATTTAGTGTCCCAGGGATCATCCCAGATCCATCCATGAAATGGCCGTTTCTCTAGCTTCCCGGTGTGAACTTCATGCAGATGGGCGGGTTAACCTTAGCAAGAGAAAGCAAGGAAGAAGGGAACATCCATATACCATCCCCACAGATAAAACCAGAGGCAACTGCAGGCATCAGCAAC